ACAATTGAAATATTGTTACGATAGGAACGGCGGTTATCCTTAATGGTTCATCCTACTACAGTATTACATAACGTCGAAGGTGTAGCAAATTACCACAGACCTATTTAATACTTGATTGGATACTACCTGGTTAATGTTTTTCTCTTGTGCCTGGATTGCAAAACCATGACTGTATCTAATTTTGATTCCAATACCCATACCGGGCAGTTTAGCAGCAACACTGTCAAGATCTACACCCTCCTGTGAACGAATATGTATGCGCAATGATTAACTGTCTGTACAATGATATTAAAAATAGATCACAACACTAGTCATATTTTATTCTAGGTCAATGCTACATTTGCGTTTAATTTGATTAAGTATTAGGCAGCTTAAAATTAATAATCTGAGCGCGACCCAATCAACAAATGCAAGACAATTTCGAAAAGATGTAATTATTAATTATGTTCGCTTATCACAAATTACTACATTCAGAGTCAGAGACTCTACACAACAGACACTAAAATTGCAATATCTCCTTCAGATAAATTCCTAACTTAAAATCTAAGGTCAACACTAACTGTCACTAAATGGAATAACACATTTTTGTACTCACCTTAACTCTCAAGATGTAGCTGTTCTTTACTACATCCCGTGCTTTGTACAAGGGAACGAGCTTTGCAGCACTAGCTGCGGCAACAAGTAGAGCAAAGACGATGAAACGCATGACGATCTGCTAAGATGAAAATGTTATTGGTCAAATGAAAACGTATTAAAATAACAACGTCGAAGACAATTCTACATGCTATCTGACAATTAAAATGTTACTGCACATCTGAGGTTGTATAAATCGTCTTACCTGTTCAGGGTACCTCAGTATAAAGGATGTAGATGTGATGATAAATGGTGCCTTTTATTTATTTCTGTTACCAATGTATGTGTGGCACCGTTATCAACTGGGTTATCGTCAGGAAACGGAATTAAAGACAGGCAAGTGTGAGGTATTATTTATTGATTATAATTGACACCAATACCGCTAAATGGTGTCGTGTGTTTATTTGTATGCCCTAGTTTACACCCACTCAGCTGGTCAGAATATAACTATGTAAAAGTTGATATTGGTTATTTGTTACAACATTCTCTCCAGCTCATGTGTACACAAGTATCTTGATTGTAATTTTACATCCCTTTAAATTAAAATCGAATTTTATACAGATTGTTAAATATATTTATTGAATTTCATCTAATAGAAATAACGTAAATTTAATAAACGCAACCCCAAAAACTAAGTCACATTATGTGGGCATATGATTGGTAGGTATACTGTTTATTAACTTTTAACATGGTTAGGCCGTCTGCGTCATTCAAATCGCTTTGGAATGCATGTAACTGACTGGAACCTCATTCTAATGTTTCATTTGTAGCGCTGCAGCGTTTATTGTATGTCAGTTTTACTATCAGAATAAACATTGTTACTTAGTGGCGATGTGGGCAGTGATATATACCTAAAGTCGCCATTGATACAGTCGACTTTGAATTCAGTCATGTTGGAAGGCGCTTACAGAATGATAAGCGTCCTGTACAGGGGTTTGACATAAATAACGCGTCTCTTGTGAATGTAGTATAGGTCGCTCCATTCTTTTTACCTAAATTCTAAGCATTCTTGTTTATAATTAAATTACTAACACACAATCTAAACTTGCATATTATCACGATTACCATCCAGTTATCATCCCGAATTTTTAGCAGGTGTGTTTCGTTAGGGTGTTGTTTTCTTGAATGTAAGTTAACATCTGCTGTATGGTACTACAAACTATCAGTGATATCACTTTGCTATACATTTATTTAATAATTAAAATTAAGAAATCCGCTGTAATCAATAATTTCTAGTTTTTTGATGTAGATGTAGCATGGCACGTTTTCCAGGGACAATTCACTCATATAAAGTTGCCATTCATTTTATAAACCCTTGTATTTGTACAATTAAATGTGTCGCACATTCTTCTCTTCCGTGCACGTGCACATGACAAATGAAACAATTCAATTTTAACTAATAAATTCAATACGTATGCAATGATCTTAATTCGTATCACTATATGGGGAAACTGATCGGTGTTCAACAATACCAGACAGGTCACGGTCACGGTCACTAGATTCATACCAAAATACGCCGTGTATGTGTCGTTAGGGTATTGTTATCTTGAATGTAGGTCAACATCTTCTGTATGGTAATACAAACAGTCAGTGATATTATTTTGCTGTACATTTATTTTATTAATTCAAGTTTAAAAATCATTAATGGGCGTTTTTTTTATTTAGAGGTCGCATGGCACGTTTTTCAGAGTCAGTTCACTCATCCAAAGGCGCCATTCATTTTACAAATACCTGTATTTGTACAATTCAATGCGGCGCAAATTCATCTCTTCAATGCGTGTGACAAACTAAATTTTTGCCAACAATTCATTTTTAACTGATAAATTTAATACATATGCAATTGTCTTAATTCGCACTACTATATGGGGGAACAGATCGGTGTTCAACAACGCCAGACAACAAATGTACTACGAACTTAGCGTCAACCAGGATTTGTTAACGACCTACTAAAATGCTGTGAATTTCCGAATCGTTATTTTATACCAAATTTAGTGCCAGTTTTACGCTCAGGTAACGATAATACTGACTTTCAACTAACGGTCCTTCGTTTACTCCTAGTATAGGACAGATTTGTATGGGTGTGTGAATTGATATGTGAACAACGCGCAATGTTACCTCTTTAACATCAACAAACCACTGACTATAAATTGCATCAGAATACTTAATGTTCAATATTACAATAAAGTAATAGCAAAATGATATTATTATTATGGGGAGGTTGCTCAAGACTGCCAATTCATATCACACTTTGCTCTCTCTGTCAGCATCCCTTAATTAATGGTTTTGTCATATTAACTCAAACTCTGCAAATAGAAGTCTGCATGGAATCATGGGAAGAAACGGTGTGCATTGTCGTGTGATAAATGTCATAAGGGTAATTGAGGTGTCATACTTGTTTTCAGCTCTGGAAGAACAGTTGGAATCTACCAGGTGTGCTTGTGATTTGAATAACAAAGTATGTTTACTGTCTACTGAGTTGCCTACGTGACACAGCTGCTTGCAAGATCACATTCTGATTGGCTTATGTGGAAACCTTGGTGGTGTCCCTGATTCTGGGCCATTTAGGCTTACAAATATCCTACACTGAGAGCAGTTGGGGTCCATCATTTTCATTGTTTACCCTTTGTGTTGCTGCCGCAATATAAGTGATAGAGGCTTCAATTATCGTTCTGTGAGACTTGTATGAACTGCTCTGCGATCTCCTGCTTGCAGCGGTGCCCACAGTCAGCTGGCGCACACTTGACAATAAAATTAATACGATATTTACTATATGGGGGCCGCCATCTTGAATGCAGCATAAAACTAAATAAGAAAGAAGTTGTAAAACGCGTTTTTCAGATTTTAAACAAATCTGGACAAAAATACCGATCTTTCACAGAAATACGATCAACTGGGATAATAATTAAGTCAGCAGATACCAAATTCAGCCGAATTCGTCGTTTTTGTTTTGATAAATCCCTTAAATACGAACACATAATTACAAGAAGAACATAGAACACTTTCCTGAGGTAATTGAAACCAAAAATTGTCATTCTAGCTCAGCAGCCAATCGGCGATGGCCTTACAGTCAGATGACAATTTCGGTTTTGATTTTCGATTGGCTTAATATAACCTCAACGGATCGTTTTTTTGTGAAAGATTGGCATTTTTGTCCAGATTTGTAGGAATCTGAAAAACGCGTTTCACAACTTTTAATTACCAGGGCTGTACGCAACCAGGAAAAAATCGTGCAGCTAACGATATACTGCTCTTTCAGCATCAGCATCCGTAATGTGTACTCAAAAGTGACTTGGCTGAGAAAGGATTACAACAACCATCAAACACTTTTTTTAACTTTTGAAACTAACGGCGTTTACAAACATTTATTGTTTTAATCATAGGTTAGACAACAGTTCAGCTACCTCAGA